TCATCTATCCTAACTGAAAGAGTCTACAGTTCTATGCCTGAATTATGTTTTGATTTTAACTTGCATTACTATCTGAAAATCATCCTTTCAAATCCGTATCACCTTCCTCAATGTTAAACAACTTAAGCTTAATTATGAGACTATAGCTAGTCTTCAACCCCATCAGACATCAAAGAATAAATTAAATATTATCTGAATATATAGGAAGCACAAAAACAAAGCTTCCAAACTTTACAATTTGGAGAGACAACTAACTGCTGGATAGTCCCTTAATGTCATATAATGTTGGAGCATCTGTCTTCAGCCTTCTGGCCCAAAACCATCTGGCAGACATTATGTGAAGCAAAAAATATGAAGAACTAACTTACCCAGTCTTGGCAGAGCTAAGCTGTTGACTATCCTGCATGTGTGTTCTTTTCTGAACAGTATCTGAACTGTTAAACCTTAACTACTCTTAACTATTTCTACTTAAGTAATATTGAAAACACTTTATTATAGTTAGTTCAGAATCTAATATAACCATAAGTTTACAATCTGGCCCTTAACTTGTGTTACTTAATCATCCTAAGCAGTTTGTAATAACTGAGTTGAAGCCTTGTATTCTTAAATGAGTTGTATAGGCACAGTGCCTATCTAAGAGTAACAGTATCAATTTCAAATTTTGTATCAATATGCAAAAATTTTTACCAATGAAAACATTAAATCTATTTCAATATATAAATTCTGTGCCAGTGTAATAAATTATAACTTCAATTTTGCATCAATTATAAAGATTTCTATCAATGAAAGATTATGGTTAAACGTTTCTTTTTGTTTTTGTTTTGGTTTTCATGACAGGGTTTTTCTGTGTAGTCCTGGCTGTCCTGGAACTCACTCTGTAGACCAGGCTGGCCTCGAACTCAGAAATCCGCCTGCCTCAGCCTCCCAAATGCTGGGATTAAAGGCGTGTGTCACCACTGCCCAGTGCAACGTTTCTTCAAGAATAAACTTAGGAATCTATCCCATCTATTTCCTCCCTGTTCAAAACTATGACCATTTCCAAATGTCCTTAAAATGACAACCTTAAAATTTATTCCTTAAAATGACAACCTATGTATAACTTATAAAATAACCAGAATCAGACACCCAAACCCAAGTGATTGGAATGATGACTCTCCATAACTTCTTCCTGCTGAACAGGGTGATGAAAAAATTTTAAAGGGATGTGGAGGGGCAGGAAAATTAGAAAAAGTGTTTAGACTTAAGAAAGCTAGCTTTAGCATCTGTTATCCAGTCTCTGTATGCTTATAAGGCTTAGGACTTGACTGAAGTTTTTGACTGGATCTGTCTGAAAGTTTGAATGAAGCAAGGTCATCTGGAATCACCAGCCATTCCTGAAAGTGTTCTGGAAGCGATTCTCTGGCAACAGCTTCAGGAAGCAGGGGCTGGAAACAGCAGGTCATATCAGATCTCCAAGGAGTTCTGTGCCAGAATGGTGCATTCTTCAATATATGAATCTCACAACCAGAATTTTAGTACTATTAAGATACTTGTATGGATTGTGAACGATGCACAGATCAGCTAAGGATGAATTTTTTGCTCCTTTTTTGAGCAGGTGAAAGACAACTTTCTTTTTTATGAGTTAATTTGATCAGTAACCAATTGTTATAAATCTTCATGCTTGCCATATAGTGGATGGCATGAAAAACCTTAAGGATTCCTCACCAACAAGATTTATTGTCTAATTTTAGCTGAGGTTTTGTGTAGGGACATTTTTATGTCTAAGCCACTTACCGGGCTGTTCCCATGCGAAGGACTCAGCAGACCAAGTTACCTGTCCTGTTGATTTTCTCGAAGCTTTCTTTTCTGTAGTCAAGATCTTCAGGAGGGTCTTCCCCTGTCATATCTGATCCATATCACTCTAGAAGGGGTCCAAAGCCTTTTTTGTCTTTTATTAACACACACAGCCTCTCTCCCAAAATACTATGTCCTTGGTCGAGCAACCGGAAATCATCAAAGGTATAGATTGATTCAATTTAGTAGCTTAACCTCTCTCCCAGATGATTTTTAATATCATAATCACAAAACTTAAAACTACACACATTTTGATAATTAAAACAATTCTAAACAATTAAAGCAACCTAAACAAATATTATTACCTGTTGAGCTAGTGCTCCCCCACTATCTCTTGCCTCGACCTACATCAGATTAAGGCCTAAGTTATTTAGTCATCTGTTTACTTAAATTCTTTCTTCTATGGAGATTAATATACCTGTGGGCATATATGTCACTTTTCTCCTTATACAACTTAAATTAACATAAGTTTCTACTATCTGTCGAAGATTAGTTTTTTCTACTTATCCCCTGCTCTTGACCTACAACTTAAGATCAAAAGCCTCAAATTATTTATTCAACTATGTATACTTAAATTCTCCCTTTTATGGAAATTAATATCTCTGTGGGTATATAGGTCCCCTTTCTCTTTATATAACTTGAATTAACAACCTTTCCTATGTATTTAACTTTAATTAAATTCCCTTCTATATTCCTGTACCAGCCTTTTTTTAGGCTAGTAATTTGTCATGCCAGGCTAAGCAATCCCAAAATTCCCATGCAGACCATGTTCAAAGAATCCAGCTGCTTGCCCTGGCATAGACCTATCAAATTTCTTTTAAAGCATTTCTCTTATTCATTCTATTCTATTAAGATTAATATATGTGTGGATACATATACATATCACTTTTCTCTTTACATAACTTGAATTAGCATCCTTTCCTATGTGTTTAACTTCAATTAACTTCCCTTCTAATACTTAAAAGCACTTAAACAATTACCATTATACTCCCTTCTATCCTTAAATTTTTCATTCATCTCTATTCTTTGATTATCTGCTTGTTGGAGGTGAGCAGTCTCTCTTGTCTGCCTCTGTCTCCCTTCCGAACAGCCTGTTTGCACAGCAGGGGTTCCCTGCACCTCTGAGTTCAAGCTCTTTGTTCTAGTTCTGAACCACATGGCTCAGGCAAAGCCCTCAGCCTGCTAGTCTCGCACACAGCACCTGTTATCTAATTAATTTTTAAAAGTTCTCGCCCCAGGTTGGAACACCATCTGTAATGGTTGATATTTAAAACCGATTCTAGGTGGGTGCATGTGCCTCCTCTGGATTCACGAATGAAAGAAACACACATGCAAGACACACACAGCTTATTTTTAGTATGCCCTAAGCTAGCTCAATGGGTAGGCCACTCCTGAAGCTTCACATGGTTAGCACACTAATATTCCTGAGTTAATACTCACTAAATCTATATTTTATCTTTGTTGTCTGTGGACCCTCCTTGAGGTCGCTTTCTCCTTGTATCTACTTCTTGGCCCTCTCACTCTCCTGCGCCTTCCCAGTGTGGGCCGTCCTATGCACTTTCTTCCCTCTCCCTGCATTTCTTGCCTGGGAATTCTAAAAGTCCCACTCCTGGGCATATACCCAAAAGATGCTCCATCATCCCACAAGGACAATTGCTTAACTATGCTCATTGCAAACATTAATGGATATTACTGAAATAGGAGATATCTCTTCAGTCCAGGAGATTGAGGCCAGAAAATTCAGCAAAAATGAAATTTCTAGCATAAAATGTCAGTGCTAGATTGAGACCTAAAGTGTAAGTTAAGTATGATTTTAATGTGAATTTTTGGATTTTATTAAATCTATTAGATGACTTATTAGAATTTGATAATTATCAACAGCATAGTATTACCTCTGACTAACAAAGAAGATATTTATATAAAGATGTTCTATATGGTTTGTTAGTTGAATTACTATAAATATAGATAGTTATTTTTCTAAGTAAGGAGGAAAATACGCCTTTTAACTCACATTTAACTCACATGTATGTGGTCTGCTGGATGAGATACTTTAATGGTTATACATTGGATTAGAAATAAAGCCTTTTCTCTCTTCTCTGCAGAAAGTAGCCTATAACCAATATTCTTTATTAGTTGATAATTGACCTATAAGGATTTTTTTGTGAAATTAAGAATGCTTTAAAATATTTGCCATCTTGGGAAATACTTGCTTTCTTGGGTTGGAAAGGTGACTTTAATAGTTAAGAGTACATAATGCTCTTACAGAGGACCCAAGTTCAGTTCCTAGCCTCCAAGTCAGGTGGCCCTAACCACCTGTAACTTAAGGTCCAGGTGTATTTAGTGCCTTTGATTTCCATGGGCACTGCATTCACATGTGCATACCCACATACATACATAGTTAAAAATAAAAGTAAATATTTAAAAATAAAGTATTTTTCTCCTTTTTATATTTTGCCATAGCAGAATTGAGGGTTAAGAATTTGATTTCTTCTTTTCTTTCCTTTTCTTTTCTTTTCCTTTCTTTTCTTTTGTTCCCTTCTCCCCCTCCCTCTTAAGACAAGGTTTCATGTATGAGTTTGGCCTCAAACTCATTATGTATCAGAGGGTGACTTTGAAATTTTATATTCATTTGTCCTTACCTCCCATGTTCAGGGATTACAGGCATCCACAACCATGTCTGGCTTTATGTAGTATCAGAGCTTGAACCCAGGTCATTGTGCATGCCAGGCACACAATATAAACTCAGCCACATTCCCAACCATCCTTGAATCCACTAAATAATATAAAATACTCTTATAGAGATGTTATATGAGCTTATGTAATTAGACTACTTTTAAAGAAACTATCTAAAATTAGAGTGTTTAAAAATACATGTTAGTTTTTAGTGTATATGTGTATGTCTGTGCAAATGGTATGTGCATGTAAGTGTTAAGTGCCCATAAAGACCAGATGAGGGCGGTGGACTCCTGAGAGCTAGAGTTATAGGGAGCTGTGAGCTGCTCAGGGTGAGTGCTGGGAACCAAACCCAAGTCTTCTGCAAGAGTGCTATATGTGCTCTTGACCACTGAGGCAACTCTCAGGCTCCTAGAATTGTTTTGCTTTTTTAAAAGAGAAGGCTTGAAATCCTATTAAGATATGAAATACAACCTGTCTTTCTTGTCTAACAGGGTGGACAGCACTTCATGAAGCCAGTGTAGGAGGGTTCTATGAAACAGTCAGTGAACTGTTAAAGGGTGGAGCAGACGTGAACGCCAAAGGAAAATACCAGATCACTCCCCTGCATGATGCCGTGAAGAACAGCCATCACAAGGTACCTTACTGCTTCTGTTTATAGAGGATACACAGTGCTTGTGAATACAGACAACCCCTGTTATCACACTGACCCGACCGGCGGGTCCTAGTTATTCGTGGGGGCGAGGAGGACCACAACCTGAAAGAAGAACGGGCGAGAGAGGGAAAGGACTCAAGCAAACAGTTGCTTGTCAAGAGTCATGTATTTGAACATGAAATGCTTTTTTATAGCATGCTTTACAAGGGGAGGGGGTAAGAGGGGCCAGGTGGTGGAAAAGTACAGAATCTTCTCGGCCTGTGCCTTGAAACATGTCATGGTCTATACGGTACACTGCCTTGAATTATGATCTACCTGCTATTCTTCAGAAGATATGGTACACTGCTTGAGTTATGGTCTCCCTGCTATACACTGCTTGCCAAGCAGGATCTTGTGGTTGCCAAGCTGCAGGGGACATTGTGCAGGTGGGGAAAGGTAGGGGGTGAGGGTAAGGGCGAAGGTCCTGGCTTCTGGCATCACACAACAGGAAACAAGTTTCAGTTTTGGTTCATTTACTCATGAATACTCTGTAATAAATTTTACCTTGTGATACTTATCATTATGACCAATATGATGAAAGCCATTTTATACTTTTTGGTGATTTTTTTCACTTGTTTGTTTGAAATACAGTCTTGGTATTATTGTCTAGGCTGGCCTTGGGCTCCTAAACTCAAGGGATCTTCCTGCCTCAGCCTACTGTATAGCTTAGATTAGAGAAACATGCCGTTTTAGCATACTATTTATATATAACCAGACAGAACATTTTTTGTTATGTAGTATGTTTTCACTGTGTATTCCTTTAAAACTCTTTTCAAACAATGATTTAAAGATTTTCAAAGAATTTTTTTCTATAAAGTATCACAGTGATGTTCAGTGTTCAGTGATTGGCTACTAGAAAGCCCATATAGCCTCATGTACTCTAGTGAACATTCAAAATCATCACAGGCCAGGGCGATCCCAGAGTTAGTCATAATCACCTGTGTGGTTATACCACTGTTTAAAGCCAAATACCAAAGGAATTCATTCTAGTAAGTGAAAATATTAAGCAAAATAATGACTCTAGTATTTGTGGTTTATTTCAGAAACTCCAGGAACTGTAGTAAAGGACTGAGATATTGCTGAAGATGTCTGTTTCTCCTCCTGCTCCTCCTTTTTGCCATTCTTGTCTTCTTCCTCCTCTCTTCCTCTCTGCTTCTTTGCTGCCTCTTCCTCTTCTTCTTCTTCCTTCTTTTCCTCCTCTTCCTCTTCTTCCTCCTCCTCCTCTTCCTCTTCCTCCTCTTCTTCCTCCTCCTCCTCCTCCTCCTCCTCCTTTTTTTGTAGTGTTATGTATCCAGCCTAGGGCCTTGGCCATGCTAGTAAAGTACTGTACCATTGAGCTACACCCCACTTTCTGAAGCTACCTGTTGATTTTATATATGAAAAGTTATTTCTGGGTTTGAAACTTCTAGGATAAGAAAAGGGTTTAATCAGGCGACTGTGGTACAATCTTTTTTTCATATTTTTAAAACAAATACCAGAGAGGGGTAGAAGAGGCGTATGGGAGTCATAGGCATATTTATTACATGGTACTTAAGGAAAATTTAGAGTTTTGCTTATTTTGATAATATACACCATTTGTAGAAAACTGGGGAAAGAGAATTCCACATGGGATGTAGTTTAATGGTTCGAAGAGTGACAGTATGGCAGTCCCTGTCCTTCACCCTTTTTTCAAAGATGGCTGCCAACCAGTCTCCCTTCTCCCATGTGAGCCCTTCACAACTGTTTATCTGACTACTGTTATTTAGTTCTAACTTTTTCCAAATGTCAGACAGTATATTCTCTTTTATGTTCCCCTTTTAAAACATAACATAATGCTTTTTAGCTTTCATTCATGTTGTACTTTGTTAAGTAGTTGATATCTCTTTATTCCTGAGTAATATTCCACTCCAAGGTTGCTTGAATTGTGGATTTTGCAATTTTAAGTAAAACAGCTATCAGTGTTCAAAACTAGGATGTCAGATGGTGAAAATCCATAGGAAAGTCCAGAAATTCTTTAATATTTCCTCAAAAGATTCCCAATTCCCCTCCAAGGAATGAAGGATTACTATTATTAGTCATTATTTTTAATGACTTGCTTCTAGCTCACAAGACATGGCAGTAATGGCAATATGTGGTTTCTATGATTATGTTAAAAGATACTGTAGCTTTCTTATGATTCTCTTTTGACTCACTAACTAGAGAAAGCTAACTATTCTATTACATAAGCAGCTGTTTGAAGCAGCCCACTTGGCAGTGATTATTGCTTCTGCCTATAAACAGGTTAGCCATACATTTTAGAAAAATATCCTTCAGTCTCAGTCAAGGTTTATATGACTATATATCCAGCCAACAGCCCGACTACCCAGGCCACTCTCAAATTCCTGATTCAGATACTCTGAGATTATAAGTCTTCATAGTTATGCTAAGCCACTAAATTTTGAGGTGATTTTTTTTGGTAGCAGCAGTTATTGAATAGACAATTCAAATGTAGGTTTAAAATACTAAGAGCATTCAGGGAAAGTTTTCTTTGAAGTCACCCTTCAAAGTTTCTATCTGAAGTTTTTATCTGAACAACATGTGAAGATCCAGATATAAATTCTGTGGCTTCTTCCTATGACTGGCCTATATGTAAACTTCATACTACTGTTGCTCTGTCTTTATAGCTATCATTAAATCCCCTTTTGTGGTAGTTTGAATATGCCTGGCCCATGGGAAGTAGCACTGTTAAGGGGTATGGCCTTATTGGAGAAGGTATAGCTTTGTTAGAGAAAGTGTGTTGCTGTAGGGGCAGGCTTTGAGACCTTCTTCCTAGTTGCCTGAGAGACAGTCCTTTCCTGGCTGCAGTTAGATCAAAATGTCTCTGTTCCTCCTGCATCATGTCTGCCTACACAGTGCCATGCTTCCTGCCATAATGATAACAGATTGAACCTCTGAAAGTGTAAGCTGCCCCAATTAAATGTCCTTTATAAAAGTTGCCTTTGTCATGGTGTGTCTCTTCACAGCAATGGAAACCCTAAGACACCATTGTAAAGTAGCTTTTAAAAAGGCTCGTCACATTGCTGATTCTTAGTAATTTTTAAAGGATTTGTTTTTCTCCTACATGTTACCTCTTTTTCTTTTATTGTATAGACTGTAATGACCCACATGAGATATTTGTTGACACACATGCTGGTTAAGCTAATTAAAAGGTTTAAGGTTTTGTTGTTGTTGTTGTTTTGTTTTTTGGTTTTTTTTTTTTTAACTGATGGCCAGACCAAGAGCAAGTTTGTGTCTCTGAAGAGTTTCTTGGTGTTCATGCTCAGGGGTGCAGAGTTTTTAAAGGGGAACCCACAAAGACCATCACTTACATCAAGCTTAGATGAGGTTCAGAGTAACCTTGAAGTATTTGTTCTTGGCAGAGCATCGTAGTTATTTTAAACATAATGTACATTTTAATTTTGGTGACTATATCTGGACCATGGTCAAGGCCATGAAAAGGTCAGATGTATTGCCAAGGCAGATGGGTCTGTTGAGGGAAGGGGGGGGTAGTGGGCTGAGAGCTAAGAACACAAAATGGAGTCAGAACAGACCACTTGAAATAAAATTTTTAGATGATTACAGTAGTAGTAATGAGTAACTGTTAGCAGAAGCTTGGGGTTAGTGACAGTGTCAGTGCCAGGAATGTTACTGCACTGTGGTCATCTCTGTCTCCAAGGATTGTCAGCAGTGCTGCTGCTGACATCATCTTTGCCACTTAGAGCGTTTATGAGTCTCATTGCGCCATTATTTCCGATACTCTGAAACTCTATCTTTGTGTAGGCTGAACAGACTGTTACTGTAGGGCCTTATTTATTTGTAAATTAGGGTTCTAAGAATTGCTTTTTTTCTTTTATTTTAATTGAATTCATGTTCAATAATTACAGGTACCATGCACCCTTCTGCCTCACAGCTAAAGATAAAAGTATGAAACATATAAAATATTAGCTATAGATCACATATCTCAAATCCCTCCATCTAAGCAAACTTCCAGTTTAAGGAATCATAGAATAGTTAAGTGTTTTCATCGCTTTAAGATATTGAGTGTTTTCATCACTTTAAGATGGACTTATCAGGATATCTGTAAGAAAAAAATGGTGTAATCATTACAAAAACTGAGTACTTAAAAGAAAAAGAAGTGGAAAGAGGTGTGTGAGCCACTGTTGGAACATGTGCTTTGGGACACTTCGGAGCACATGAATATGCACTAGATACTGGATGAATGATACTAGCTACTAGCTATATATAGTTGGTACTTTCTAAGCCATGTAACACTGCAATCATGGTCATGTGAGAGTTCTTAGAAGATCACCCTTAAATACTTAGAGGTGAAATGTCACCGTGTTTACAACCACTTATTTTAAAAGCTACTCATTTCTGGTTGTACTTATACATATATATGAAGTGGGGGAAATGTCCACTTTTGATCAAAAAAAGGATATATAAGTGTCCATTGTATTCTTGTTTGTTTTTGACTCTGAATTTTTCTACATAGCCCTGATTTTCCTGGGACTCATTATGTAGACCAGGGTAGTCTTTTTTTTTTTTTTGGATGTTTTATTTACGTTTCATATGTTGTCCCCTTACCCCATCTCCCACCCACCCACGAACCCCCATCCCCTCACCCCTCCTCCTGCTTCTCTGCGGATGTACCCCTACCTACCCCCCCACTCCCACCTCCTTACCCTCCAAGTCCCACCCCCTGGGGCGTCCAGCCTTCATGAGGCCAAGGATCTCTTCTCCCACCTATGCCCAGCAGGGCCCTCCACTCTTACATATACAGCTGAAGCCATGGATCCCTCTCTAAGTGCTCCCAGGCTGGTGGTTTAGACCCTGGGAGCTGTGGTTGGTTGGTATTGTTGCTCTCCTCATGGGGCCACAAACCCTTTCAGCTCCAATGGTCTTCACTCTAACTCCTCCACTGGGAACCCCATGATCAGTTCAATGGCTAGTTGTGAGCGTCTGCCTCTGAATATGTCAGACTCTTGCAGGCCTCTGAGGAGACATCCATATCAGGCTCTTATGACCAGGATAGCCTTAAACTCACAGATCCACCTGCCTCTACCTCCTGAACGCTGGGGTTAAAGGTGTGTGCCAACATGCCAGGCTTCCATTGCATTCTTGTTTCAGTGTTTTGCATGATTGAAAGTTTTTGAAGTAAAATATTAGGGAAAAATATCTGTGAAGAAAAAACTAGTAGGATTCATTTTAAAATAATATTCATTGACATAATTGATATGTGATAAAATTGACTCATTAAATGTGCAATTAACTAGATTTGGTCTAGTCAAAAATTTGGTAACTATCACTGTGTTATGTTTTTCTGTTTTTAATACTAAAGAAAACCCTTTATTTTTTTAACTGGCACTCCTTTTTGACCCCCGAGTCTTCCAATTCTAGGGAATCACTATCTGCCGTTTGTCACATGATGAGACCAAAATTGTAGGCTTTGGGGAGGAAGACAAAGGAAAGTAGCATTCCCTCATAGCATGCCATTGCTTCTCCTTTCTCTTTCCTTTCTTCTCTTTTCTCCCTTTTTCTCGTTTCTTTTTAGTTCTTTGTAAGAATAAGGATTTCTGTTTAAACAAATTATGACTTAGTACCAGCTACTAGGTATGCTTATTGAGCAGAGATTTTATAGATAACCCAAGTGTCTTGGAACTGAATGTTTGGTGGTGTTTAAAGTTATGTGCTAGCACACATTTATAATAATATACCCTTTGTCTGGCTCCTTTGTATGAACAATGTTTTGCTAGGTGGCAGAGTTACTTCTTATGAACGGAGCAGATCCATTACTTAAAAGTGCCCATGGACGGTGTGCTTTGGATGAGGCCAAAGATTCATTTATGAGGAATCTCCTTATGAAATATATTCCTCAACATAAAGACTGTCAGCTATCAGGTAAGACTGAAGTTTCTGTTATAGTTGATCATGTTGATAGAATTATACAAACTGAACTTAGAATTGTGGAGACTAAATTCATTTCTCCTACAACTTTTGAAAAGGTACAGTGATGTCTTTGTTCTACTCTTTTAGTAAAACTCACTGCTTGTTTGCAATTGTACATAAGAAAAGGACCCTAAGGAAAAAGAAAGATCCTGCTTTTCCTGCAGCTCTGGCATTGTAAATAGTGAAGAACCCTTTTGCAGACCAGGTGTAGTGGTGCACACCTTTAATCCCAACACTTGGGAGGCAGAGACAAGCAGATCTCTGAGTTTGAGGTCTCTGTGTGTTCTATATAGTGAGTTACAGGATAGCCAGGGTAATATAGCAAGACCCTATCACAAAAAAATAATAATACATAAATAATAAATAGACAAATATGAAACTGTTTACAAATTGCTGCTTTCTTTCCAACAGATTTTTGGTATGATAGAAATTACAATTAATTCTAGCCACTTTAGTGAATGTGGATGGTAATACATATATAATCTATTATCTATTCCCTAAGAGGCTTCTCTTATGGACATAATCTGATTTTCTATCTGTTATCAAGTTGAATGACAAGATAATTTGATCTGTGATTATCAATTAAATATTATTTTAAGATACTTTAAATACATGGCATTTTGTTGTTTCTGTTTTGTTCTCTCTCTCTCTCTCTCTCTGTCTCTCTCTCTCTCTCTCTCTCTCTCTCTCTCTTTTTCTTTCTCTCTCTCCAAGACAGGGCTTCTCTGTGTCGTCCCAGCAGTCCTAGAACTTGCTCTGTAAACGAGACTTGACTTGAACTCAAAGCCTGCCTCTGCCTCCTGAATTCTGAGATTAAAGCTGTGTGTCACCACCTCCTGGCTCATGTTGTATTTTTAATACTCTCCTTAACGTATCCATTAGATTTTTTTGGTAACATTATAACATTCCTTGGCTAAAGGGAGTTGGCTTTCCATTCTTTTTACAATATTATCTTATGCAATAACTTTTACTATGTTTTCTTTGTGAACAATACATAAATGAAATGAGTCACTAAGTTCACCCACACTCAAGGAGAGAAGATTTTGTTTCTATATTTATTTTGGAATATTTGCATTCATTCTAGTACTGCTTACATTGTTCTACTGAGCCTTTCTCTGTAGCACATAATGTGCTGGCACAGGAGGCTCTTTGTGTATTGTTTTATTTATGTCGTCCTTATAGAGAATCTAAGCTCCATGAAGATAAGAATCTTTACTTTATCTCCTTATGAATATAGAATTGGCTTTGCACATAGTTTTCATTGGACAAATACTTTCTGAATAGTGTGCCTGAAACAAACACTGTGTTTCCACTCAGAAGATGTACCTGAGCACCCAGTTTTCTCAACCAGCACTCCCCATTTCTATATGTTTTCTTACATTTATTTGTTTGTTTATTATATGTGTCCATGGACACATGTACCATAGCATGTGTGTGTGGAGGTCAGACAACCTATGGGAATTGACTCCCTCCTTATCATTTCTATCCTAGGGATTGAACTTAACTTCTTGCTTGGTGGCAATTACTTTAACCCCGAGTTGCCTCTTAGTTCTTTTTTTTAAGATTTATTTATTTATTTTATGTATATGAGTACACCATTGCTCTCTTCAGACACACCAGAAAAGGGCATCAGACCCCATTGCAGATGATTGTGAGCCACCATGTGGTTGCTGGGAATTGAACTCAGGACCTCTGGAAGAGCAGTCAGTGCTCTTAACCACTGAGCCATCTCTCCAGCACTGCCTCTTGGTTTTTAACCTACAATTTTAATTTAAAAAGTTTCCAAGAGATAATTCTCTCAGAGACATTGAGTATTATTACCTTTAGTATCTAAAGCTTGTCTTTTCAGAATTTCTCTTTGTGCACAGGAAAATTAATCTGAGAATTTTTCTAGTAGAAGTCCCTTTCCCTCTACTCTGAAGGAATCTTAAACTGGCAGTGGAAATATCTAATCTCTGCTAAAGCTCTGCCTCTCTCTGGAGGCAAGAAAGGCAACTCTGCTTATTGTGTCAGTTCTATGATAGCATGAGAGTTCTTCTGTAAGAATTTTTTCGTGGTAGACAATTATTTTACGGCTAAAATAGCGCAGTAATGAAAAGAAAAACTGAGGAGCTAGGCTTTGGAGAAGATTAGGAATAAAAGCAGTTCCAGTGATCCAGACAGCCGGGACCTGTAGCCTCACTTCAGAGTGCTGCCCATCAGACACATGTTGGATGGCCAAACACTGCCCACCGCCATCTTTGAAAGAATCTGTTTTCTGCAGAAACTCACTCCCTTCATTCCTTCCTCCCTAATTCTCTCCCACCTTTTTTTCTTTTTTCCTTCTCTCTCTTTGATTTATTCTTTCATTCATGGCTTACTATATATTATGTACCAATTACATACATAACACCTAATAATTCAAAATGAATTTAAAATAAATGGGTAGCAAACAATTATAGTGAAGAATGTGATAAGGAAATGACTAGATCCTGTGAGACTACATTAAAATGACAGTACTCAGGCTTCTTCAAAGCATCATGGTTAGTGACTGTTATCAGAAGCCTTTTGATAACTCTGCTAGGGAAGCTCTTTTCGTGATCGAAGTTCTTTCCAACTGGGTCATATTTAATACAAGGCAGTTTTTCTGATTAATGTTGAGTGTATATAAGGTGATATATATATGTACATATATAAACATATATATACCATTATGATTCTTGGTCATGAGACTGATTCTTCTTTATAGATGTATTTTATTATTTTTCTATTACATTATAGCCTTTTATTTTAATTTTTTCTTTTTAAAATTATTATTATCATTCTTTAATTGTTTTTTGCAATCCAGTCATTATCCCCCTCCCAGTCCACCCTCCGACAGTTCCTCATCCCATTCTTCCTTCCCCATCTCCAAGAGGATTTTCCCACCAGAATTTTATGTCTACAATTTTAATTTAAAATTTTTCCATTTAAAAAATGGATCAAAAATGTTTAGGGCATGTAATTATTTAAGTGCTGTTGACTATGGACTGAGACCTAGACCAAAATTATAATAATAAAGGGAAAATATTACTGAATTTTAAAAATGTGATTTATATTACTTAGGTTGATCTTGAGCCCATGAATTAAAGCCATCATCCTGTCTCAGCCTCCTCAGTGGCTGGGACTGTAGACATATGACCAGGAGCTCCTTCACTGGGACTGTAGACATATGACCAGGGCCTCCTTCACTGATTCTTGACAGCCACAAAGCAGCAAATCAAGTTCTTCAGAGCAGAGCTCACCCTTAGAAACCTAATCACATTAGAAGAGACAAACAATAACTTGTTGATAAAAGCATATTGATGTACATGATTAAAACAGTCATATTTCAAGGCATATAAAAATTGCAAATAAATATAAGCTAGAAACAAAACTTTATCAACTATAAAATTTGCTTTGATGATGTGCTTAATTACTTGACTTTTTTATTTTATAATAAAAGAGACTTTTTTTTTCTTTCCTGGAAATGTTTTCTCCAGAATTCTAACTTTCTCCAAATCCTGAAACCTTGATCACAATTTCTTGTCCTCTAATCTAATTCCCAGTTCTCTAACCCAATGCCGTAAGAGTGTCGCCTAATTCATGACGACATTTCCTTCATGGAAAGGAATTCCTAATCTTTCTCCTGAGGACTTGGACTTCATTCTTTCTTTGTGAGAGAATTTATCAATTTATTATGCTTCAGCAGGTGGTTTGACTATTTCTGAAGCCAGAACGTTTGAATTCTGTCATTAATTAGCATTCTCTTTCCCAACATAATGTGAATTTCATCTTAAGAAATATATATACTTGTAGAAGACATTTATTTTTAAATTTTAGTTGAAGGGGGCTTTGTTTCAACTTTTGTTTTGAAATGCTAGGGATCAAATGAAAGCCCATTTATATCTTAGGTCAACAATCCTCCCCTAAGCTTATAATAAATATTGGAAACTATATAGTCATGTTGTATGTGCCAACTTTAATTTAAAATATTTTCATGATTTCACATATTCCCTCTATTTTAACATTATTTATTTTGAGTATGCCTGTGTGTTTGCATGTGTTCACATACGTGAGCCCCAGTGTGAGCATGCTAGGTGGATATGTGGAAGGGAAAGGACTGCTCTGGGGAGTTAGTCCTGCCACAGGTGGGATCCAGGGCTTGAATTCAAATCATCAGGCCTGTGTACAAACCTGCTGGCCACACCCTCCAGGTGTTTTGTTTTTGTTTTTTTCTTTTTTTCATGCCAAAAAACTTTCAGGGCTAGAACTCTAAAGTATAACTGCTGGAAACTGTTTCTCTTTATTTTCTTGTTTTGTTTGCAGCTCAAAGGAACAATACTGACACAGCACATGTAGAAGATATGTTTCAGAACAAGGTATAACTGTATTTACTAATGAATGCTTTCGTAGGTCTGTACCTGCTGGTTATCTCTGTAGGTTACCAGAGGAAAAGAAAGACTGTGAAACATGATCAGGTAGTGAGTTCACCTTTGGTTTAAGGCACTTTAAATAATTGTATGAGATAGCAGAAGATTCTTAGTTTGAGAAGTACTTAAGTTAGTAAATATTCTAGGGGGATGTACTATAAGCCATTTCCTTCCTGTTGCTCTTTATGGGGACTGTACACATTTGCTGGAGTGGGTGGCCACTCTTCACCTGGTGGCAGAGTCATGGCCAGTCAGAAGCAATGTTCTTGTTTTACTCTTAGCATCTCACAGTCAGGTTTCCAGAGAGCCAATTGTAGAAGTCATCGTCTTGGGCTTTAAAATCTTACCTTCCACTGCCATATCTATGTTTCTTCTAGATGTCAAAGGAAGAGACTTCTTTTGCTGTGTGATAGTTGGAAGAGGATAATGTCTTGAAAATACTTCTGTAACACTCCCTTTAGTGTCTTATGTAGATCTCATGCAGATCCATAGATCTGCGGCTGGAATTAAAGCTAACCATGTTTTTGTTTGTTTTTCTTTCTTTTATAGAAACCAAAATTAAGTTCTAATAAATATACTGAGTTTATTTGGAAAGAAATTTTTAATAGGCAAGAACCTGGACATTTAGAAATCAATAAAGGAAACAACAATTTACTTATGAATAAAGAATATGTATTTGAACATTGCCAGAAAAATTTCAATACCACAAAATTTGGCAATTCCAAGCCTAGGCAGTCAACTTTTAACCAAATAGACTCTACAAGATTCAGAAGGAGTAATCTAAACAGTGTGAAAGATAGCCAAACTAGTGTGTCTAAAAGAAAAGGGCAAAAAGATACACAACAAGAAGAGACTCAAATGGATGATAGAGACGACAATTTAAGTCAGGAAATAGCTACTTATTCTTTCAGGGGAATGAATAAATTACTCACTCAGCAGCATCATGCTGTCCAGACTCTCAGTGACCTTCCAGAAGACTCATGTGAACTTTCTACCCCAACTCTATCAAGCTTGGAAAATGGTATAGGTAACAATGAAGCTTATTTGATTTCCAAAAATTCGGATGCCCGAGTCCCGGATTCATCAGATAGTCAGGAAATGCAGTTCTTAGGGTCCATTGATCAAACTGAAACTGCTTCTGTCTCTGAACTTTCATCATATAAAGAAATAAAATTATCACCTGTAACTACAGATCAACAACCTCACACTAACCAAGAACAATGCAGTGGCCCATGTAAGTCCCCTGGAAACAATAGCTCAGATGGAAAAGGTAAGAACATTAATAAATGGGAAGATTCTTTCCTCTCCTTCATAAGGGGAAGCTTTGCTGACAGAAATAGCCACACTTTGGACAAGTCCATAGCATCTCCAAAAGATGGCATGGGCCACTGTCATCACGAAGAGATAACGACAGATAAAGAAATAGATTCTCAACAGCTTCTATCTTCTGAAAACTATTTTTTACAAGAAAGTGACCTAAAAGTTGGTACCCTGACTACACACCCACAAGAGGAAGCTGTTAATTCTTGTGATTCAAGTAATACATTAATTTCTGCACAACACATTCCAAATTATGAAAAGTGTATACATGGAACTTCTTTTGCTCACTCATACGGCAATACTGAGCAAAGTTCTATGTTTTGTACAAGACCACCTTCGACACAGAAAGTTTCACCATTGTCTGTTGAGGTGGAGCTATTAAAAAGATCCCAGGATTCTCTAGCCCACAGAGACTCAAGTCTTTTAGTCAATCAAGCTGATATACCTAATGTGGAAAAGAAACAAGACACTGACAGGGATTATCCCGAGAAAGGTCAAAGCCCATGTTCTTCAAGTTGCTCTTTCCCGACAGTTGTTCATTCCCAAGTAATAGACATCACTAAAGCTGAGAACAGCAGAGAAGACCTTCCAGGAAATGAGCCCATGAATAATACAGATTTTTATTCCACTGACAATGTGAACAAAGAATTGACCAATTCCTCACAACTTAACCAAGGAAAGGAGAGGGAAATTGTTCATAAATCAGGTATCAGTATTTCTCAATTTGTACATTCCTTACAGATCTCCCTCTGTTGAAATTTACAACTGAATTCTATTTACCTTTTATCCCAGCTGAAAAGCATGAGGCCATCATGTGAGTCATGATTTGGGAAGCTGATAAGCTCAGTAGGTATTTGTGCTTGACTTGCAATTAAGAGGCCTATGCTCTATCATCTGGGCTAGCCAGATACCCCTATTATTTGCTTTGAAAGTCAAACTGTTATTATCAAAGAAGATTGCTAGAGTGATACCAGTGAAATCTAATGAACAATATGCCCACCAGTTTTTATATCTCTTTTACACTCAAATCCTAATGTCGTTTTCATAACAGAAAATTAGGAGCTCCACAGATTTCAGCTATTTTGTCTCCATTAGCACTGCAACCAGCACACTCAGTTTGCTCTGTAGAAGCGTTTTAAGGGCTCCTCATAAGTAGTTCTTGAAACCAAAACTCTGAAAGAACAGGAGTTTTATATTCTTGTCATATCAGCAGTGTTGTGTTTCAGATGCAGAGTTAACTAATGATGCCAGCAGAGCTGAAAGAACTTTAAAAGGTAGTGAGGAGAAAAGGGAAAACATGGACTCTGAAACTCATAGTCCTTATGATATCCAAGAACACAAAAAAGACAAGAATTTCAGAAAAAGTTCCTTGAAAGCTCTCTGCAGCCAAGGTTTGTATAAATGTTTCTATCAAAGTTTTGTAATTAAGCCTTGTTATCAACTGTACTTCAAATAATTCTTAAACGTTTAGTTAGACTAGTGACTAGTGGGGAGTTTTGTTTGTTTTTTTGTTCTGGAGCACATTCATTTAGCCATGAGATTAATTCAGTTATGCTTGTGTTAAAGCTCCACTTGAGTATATCCAGTAGTCTCCAGATAGTTTTGTCATATTGCTGTCTGTGGGTTTCAGTTTCTTAGAGTAGATAAACAACACAATCATCAAGAATATTTTGTGGGAGGATTAGGATTGTATAATTCTCTGATTCTTAAGACACACCCATTTAGCCTTTTTAACTTTAGGAATATTAAAGAAACATGGGCACTATTTTTTGTCATTAATCAGCTGTCTTATATTTGTCTAATGAGTTAATTATCCTTTAGTGGTTCTTAGAGCTAATCCTGTGATGAGCAACAACCCAGATTACCTCAGGTTAAATATTAAGCACTAAAAAAGTCAATTTATGTGTAGTTATAAGGGAGAAAAGATACTGGATAAGGCATTTTCTGTGTGAGCCCTATTTTCTCCATTTATATAAATTGAAGACCTTTATAGTCATGACTTTATAGTCATACTACAGTGGATTGTATGATAGTCCTTCCATAAGGAGTCTACTTCTCTGGAACTTGTGAATAACACCTTTGTGGTAAACAATTGAATATCATTACCCTCTTTAGGAAAGGAACGTTTACATAAATAATCAAATTATGGTCTTTGAGGTAGACCATTCTCAATGATCTAGAAGAACCCTAAATCTAATGAAAAATTTCTTTATAAGAGAACGATAGAGAGGAATTTGAGACACATAGAAGGTAGAATAAAGGAGTTCATGTAGCCTCAAGCTGGTGAAGCCAAAGAATGTCAACAACCACCAGAGCCTGGAAGAGACAAGGAAGATTTGCACCCTAGAGCTTCCAGTAGACATCCCCATTGGTGGTGTCTTGATTTGAGATTTCAGGTAGCAAAATAAATTTCTGTTGTTTAAACCCAACTATCTTATAAGTTTTTAGAGCTGACTCAAGAAACTGCCATACATCCCTAGTGGCACTTAATTATATTTAAGTCTGACTTGGTGTATGCATGTCATTCGCCAAACTGTAAGCACCTCGAACAGGGGATTGAGAATTATAGGTATTGACATCAGGAGATTCCCTGGTACTAGTTTATCTCCCAACCATGGCAGCAGTGAATTTAACCATGCCCTCAGTTCTACTGACCTCCTCCTTCCAGGCACAGACTTTTGATTTTCGTTTTAATTTCCCTCATTTAAATAGAAAGATCAACAGCTATTTATGAAATGCTCTAATATGAGAGATACCAAAGTAAACTACTCAGATCAAAGACACCCAGAAGAAACAGAATTCAAGAATATTTCCTATTTCTTTAAGTAAAGAAAAGAAGGACTCTCAGAGAATAATACAGAGTTTTTAGATGTTGAAAATGTAGAGGGCTAATATCCAATATATACAAAGAACTCAAGAAATTAGACTCCAGACAACCAAAAACCCCTATTAAAAAATGGGGTATAGAGCTTAACAAAGAATTTTCAATGGAAGAAACTCGAATGGCTGAGAAGCACCTAAAGAAATGTTCAGTGTCCTTAGTCATCAGGGAAATGCAAATCAAAACAACCCTGAGATTCCATCTCACCCCAGTCAGAATGGCTAAGATTAAAAACTCAGGTGATAGTAGTTGCTGGCGAGGGTGTGGAGAAAGAGGAAC